ACCACAGACATTTTTATTTCTAATTATGAAACAGTTCAAACATATAAAAATAAAAGCACAGAAACTACTGTTGGTAACATCAGTGCACCCAATCGCCCAGTGTCAACTGATGGTGATATTTAGGCAGAGTTGTTTCAGAATTTAAGGGATGAAACAGCACAAATACAGCTAGAGCACAACCACCCTGCACCATCCCTCCACACCCCCGGGGTAAGCACTGTGCTCAAGTCAGGATGCATGGTCCCCGACCAGGGCACGTTCAGAACGGCTCTGGATCACACATGTTATTCCTCCACAGAGAACTTAATCTCTTTATTTCGTTTCCAAAGAGAACTCCATAACCTCTGAGGAATATTCTAGGTAAACATAAGATGTTCTTCAACACTTGTTCTCAAATAGATTTCTATAAAATATCTATTTACATTTCCAGGAGACCACAAGGATAGGACTATTATGATGAAATCTGTAATGAATATACTCTGAGAAAGATCCTAGATTTCAGGTATGTCTCTCTTTGAATAGCTTATAGTAGAATTTGCTTTATGACTTGTGAATCTTTTGTTTTGTAATTGAGTTCGACTCATATTTATTGTTATAACTGGTATATTAGTTCTTACTCCTACTTTCTTGGTTTTTCTTTCTGTTTCCCTTTTTTACCCCCTATCATCTGCTGATCTAGATGTTATTTCCTTTATTTTTTTTACCCTCTAGTGATTTGAAGATGTGCAACCTATTTTTATTCTACTATTACTTAATGTATAAGGAATAGTCTCAAGAAATGTAACTAGAATGTAACTTTTTCCTATCTGGAGTCCCAACTACAGCAAAGAAAAACAAGTTTTTTAACCTCCTCACCAAATATTTATTAAATGTCCCGTGTGCAGGTCTACTCCAGCGAGTCGTCAGGCTGGCAGCATTAATATCACACCCAACTCCAGACCGATGGAGTCTGAGGCCCCAGATAATCTGGATGCCCATTAAAGTTTGAGACGTGTTGGTTTAAAGAATTCAGAAAAGTGACAACCTAGACCAACGCACAACCAAATCCAACCACCATTCTGCCAAACTTACCCTCTTCCTATCAGAGGACATGGCTTTCAGCCATTTTATCTCTGCGAAGTCCATGCCTAAGTGTCAGCAGACCAGTGGTGATCGCCAGGGGTGATTTCGCCTCCCAGGGGACATTTGGCAAAGTCAGGAGACATTTTTGTCACAACTTGGGGGGATGGGGCTACTGGTAGGTAGAAGCCAGGGATGCTGCCAAACATGCTACAATGCAGAAGGCAGTCCTCCACAACAAAGAATTGTGTGGCCCAAAATATCAGTACTGTGAAGGTTTTTAAGCAAAAAACAAAAAAAATCCTGCCTATGATATCCTGGATAAAATGATCAATTGTTAACTTCAGTAATTTAATAAACTGACGAGCATCTGTATCCATGGGGGAAAAAAAATAAACCAACAACTAAAAACACTTACCATCCAACGTGCTCAAGTACAGAGTTTATAAGGTTCCCACAGGAGCTCACACCAAATCCATTATCATAATATTGACACCCAAGACCAAGTACAGTAAGACACCAGATGCACATGTTGAAATATTTCACAATTATACAGACTCAATTTAACAAGCACGTACATTGCTACCATACACACTTTTCCAGTAAAAACATTCTGCTGCTCATTTAACTTAATTCTTTGTTTTTCTCCTACAACACAGATCATTAGGGAAGAAACACTTTGGCTACTTCAAGATGACAAGCATTCACTGGGCTAAATTACTTCATTGAAAGGAAACCTCATATTATACAAAAATTTGTTAAAGGTAATTGAAAAAACCCTCCAGTATTATCAAGAGCTTTGTTAATTTCATCAAAACGTTATGAAGAAATCATTTCTCTTCTTCAGAGAAAGTAGAATTATGGCACAGTCAGAATGGTGGAAGGTGGTCCACATATAAGAGAAAAATAGGTCCCTGTGTAATTACACAGAAGGTGAGTAATGAACTCAGGCCAACTAGGCATCTTTCTATTAAGATGAATGTACTCCTAGAGTGAGCAGTGCCTTGTATGGCCCTGTATCAATTAAACTCTGCCCAAAGGGAGAGCCCTGAGCTTATATGCAATTCTCTACACCTTGAACACACAGAGCAGCACAGTCCTAAGACCTTACGTTGCGCCAATGCTGAGGTGCACTCTCTATCTAGATCACGTGATCTTCACACTGATATTCTAGCTGTGCAAAACATTAAGAGAAAGTGATTCATATGCTCCCATTACAATTTAATAGCTGTCTTTTGGTCTCATACACCCCATTCCACCATATCTTTAATGATGTTACCAAAGACCCAAAGAGATGGCAGATATAGACTAAAACGCCTCATGTCATTTTCTTCTCCTGTACCTCCACCTGTGCAACAAGAAGAGTTCCACCTAAAAGAAGCTGAAGACGTGCTCTGTTAAGGCCCCCTTTTTATAATTTATTTAATTTTTTCCCTCCAAAGCCCCAGTAGATAGCTGTATGTCATAGCTGCACATTCTTCTAGTTGCTGTATGTGGGACGCGGCCCCAGCATGGCCGGAGAAGCGGTGCATCGGTGTGCGCCCGGGATCCGAACCCGGGCCGCCAATAGCGGAGCATGTGCACTTAAGTGCTAAGTCACGGGGCCGGCCCAAGGCCCCCTTTTTAAAAAGTTTTGCCACATATAGAAACCTTTCTTAAAAGTAGTCTCAAGAATTTAGGGGGCATTGTTTACATTGCTGAAGCCTCATGGTTAACATAATGACCACTTTCACTACAGAAATTCAGAGATAATCTCAGAAATAACTCTCGTGGGCAGGGCTGGGTGCACGTCCACAAACCAGCTCACCAGAATGCCCACTTTTTCAGTTGATCATCATCCAGAGGTCCTTTTCTTTTTTTTTTTTCCCTTCCACTGCCTGTCTCACATCTTTAAGGGGCTGGAGCACGCTGCTTAGAAATAATGAATCAACTGAGAGCCTGGGCCAGGGAAGGGAGCGTTGCTGGGTCACACCAAGACAGTCTTTGTTTTCTTTCTGATTCATTTGGTTCTTATTTATTTCTTGTATAAAATCAGCATCAGTATGTGACTATTTCCTCCACCTGTGAAATGACCTGAAGTTTCGGTAGGTCCTTTATCAAGACATTAAATCATCTCTGTACTAAAGACAAGGAGAGGAGACTGGGTAGGTGTTACAAGGTCAAAGTGACACGTCTCGGTTATGATTTCATCCTGTTTTTCACCCAACATATATTCCTGCCTTTTGGTCTCAATATATAACTGGCCTCACCTGCTGTAGATGTGTTACAATAGCTCCGTTTTCACACCTCTCTCGATCCTTATCACTGTAGAAAAGGCCACCACACTCTGAGACATCAAGACCAAGTACAGTAAAATATGTACCTGGAGGACACAATGCCCAACCATCAACTCCCCTGCTAAAGAAAAATATTGAAGAGCTTGAAAATTACTACCAAAATTGTCTTGGATTTACCTTTGGCTCATGACTCATGTACGCAGAGTGTCCAACCAGACAGCCTCACAGCAGCAGCAACACCCTGCTTCTCCCCCAGCCAGTATGCCCCAAACCTTTCCATCCTACAACGGAGACTCTTACCTATGACTGCTTAAAACAGGCCAGAACAGAGCAACGGTCCAAGCTTAGAAATCATGGAACTACAAGGAGGCAGAAGGGTTCAGGACAGCAGGAACTCATTGCTGGAGGTGGAGGAAGCAGGGATCAGACCAAGGAGGGACTTCTGGTAGCTCCGTGTTACAGAGTTAGGACTTTATCCTGGGGGCAGGGAGCAATCACTAAGGGTTTTAAGCAGGATGTTGATATTGTGTACAAGACAGGCAGTAACATTTGCTTTGATGTATCAAATAATCTTTCAAAGAAGTTCTAATCTTTCCTGTGCCCTAAATCAGTATGTCTGACATCAGTGAAGAATATACAGGATTCCCTAACAGAAGAAGGTTCTGGGTAATAGCTAGGATAGCATTGTCCAATAACAATATGATACAGGCCACATATGTAATTTTAAATTTTCTAGTAGCCATATCCTTAGAAAGTGAAATTAACTGAAATTAGGATTAATAATAGATTTTATTTAATGGAATATTCCTAAAATATTATTTCAACACATAATCAATATTTAATATCTTAGTATGAAAAAAAGAGTATAAAATATCTTAATACTAAGTCTGTGAAGTTCATTGTGCATTTTATACTTGCATCCCATCTCCCTCAGGACTGGCCATATTTCAAGAGCTCTACAGCCACATGTGGCTAGTGGCTACCAAATTGGACAGTGTAGACCTAGAATGTACTTTGGGAAGCATTTCTCAGAATGTTTAAGGTACTTTTACCATTTGTGTTTGTTTTCTAATTTATAAGAGTAATGCAAATCTGTTTTTCAACGAAAAAAAGAAAAACAGACTATCTCAATTTTCAAAGGTATCCACAATCCCACACCAAAAGCACCAGTTACGTTTGGATGTGTATGCTTGTAAGACATTGTCCACAATACATGTAGGGTCTGTGTCAATAGCTCTTAAACCTAAATACTAAACAGAGTTCTGAAAATGAAACAGATTAATTCTCTTTTTACAGTGTTATTACCTTTCAAGACTATATTTAAATGAGCATGTCCTAGAACTTTGGAGTTTTACAGGAAACCGTTCTCACTTGAGGAGAACGCTGGTCTCCACGATTACCTCAGTTCTCAGACAGTCCTGTGTTCTCCAATTTTTCTTTCCTGTCATCTCTATTCTTCCCTTTTCAAAAGGAAGGAGGGAGGGAGAGAGGGAGGGGTACCTTACTAACATATAGCAGAGACTTGGCTTCAAGAACTTGGCAGGTTCGACTGTATCCACCGCCCCTTGCTTCATCACACGGCAAGTGACATGGAGGCCATCAGTGCCCTCTGAGTAACTGTGTCACGTCCTGTTCCAGGCCTCGCCCTCGGGAAGCGACACAGCGATGAATTTCAGCACCGCACAGCCCCCCTCGAGGTCCTGCCCCTGGGACCCCTTCATAACTCAGCGAATCGTCCCTGCGCTCTACCTCGTGGTCTTCGTGGCAGGCATCCTGCTCAACGGCGTGTCGGCCTGGGCCTTCTTCTACGTGCCCAGCTCCAAGAGCTTCATCGTCTATCTCAAGAACACCGTCGTTGCCGACTTTCTGATGAGTCTCACCTTTCCTTTCAAGATTCTGGGTGACTCGGGCCTGGGCCCCTGGCAGCTGAAGGTGTTTGTGTGCAGGGTCTCCGCGGTGCTCTTCTACGTCAGCATGTACGTCAGCATCGTGTTCTTCGGGCTCATTGGCTTCGACAGGTACTACAAAATCGTGAGACCGCTGCGGACGTCCTTCCTGCAGTCCCTGAACCACAGCAAACTCCTGTCGGCGATGGTGTGGGTGCTGATGCTCCTTCTCGCTGCCCCCAACAGCATCCTGACCAACCGCAGCGCCAGGCAGGTGACGCACATCAAATGCGTGGAGCTGAAAAATGTCCTGGGCCTGAAGTGGCACAAAGCCTCCAACTATATCTTTGTGGGCGTCTTCTGGATTGTGTTTCTTTTGTTAATCGTCTTCTACACTGCTATCACGAGGAAGATCTTTAAGTCCCACCTCAAGTCCAAAAGGAAATCCATCTCGGTCAAGAAGAAATCCAGCCGCAATATATTCAGCATCATGTTCGTGTTTGTTGTCTGTTTTGTGCCTTACCACATCGCCAGAATCCCCTACACGCAGAGCCAAACAGAGGCTCATTACAGCTGCCGCTCAAAAGAAACCTTGCACTACGTGAAAGAATTCACTCTGGTCCTGTCGGCTGCAAACGTCTGCCTGGACCCCATTATTTATTTCTTTCTCTGCCAGCCATTTAGAGAAATCTTATGTAAGAAACTGCACATCCCATTAAAAGCTCAGCATGACTCAGACACTTCCAAGACTAAAAGGGGAAACACACTGCATGAAAGCACGGACGCTCTGTGATTTCCCACCTCCTTGCAAATAAAGCCCACGTGTACATACTGTAATCCGCAATTACATACTAAGAGGCACGAATAAGAAACGTGCCCGTGATCCTAAGTATTATCTGTAAGCATTACTGTCCAATTTAGTACAAGAATAAATTAAAAAGGTAAGTTCCCATGCTTTTTTGTGACATCAAGGAAAAAAAATAATACATACATTATTCAATCTTATTTCATCAAAATAGAAGGTTTAAACTTACAATCACTAGTCTGGTCAGTTAATGTAGAACTTTAAATAGCAAATAAAGAAAATAGGAAGCAAGATAACTCACAGGGGCATCTTCCTTCTCTAAACATAAGAATTAAGTTAGTGAGTTATGCGATTTTTCTCAACAGGGTCATTAAAGACCAACTTACCAACAGGCACAGTTTGACAAAGGACGAGAGGCCTGTTCGTAGTGAACAAGTCATGTTTTCTCCGATTTGAAGGAGCAGGATAAGCAGACGCCCAGAAAATCGCTTAAGAAATCTCGTACTGATTTATCGTATGGTATTTCAAAGGAAAGCAGATATGTACTTTGCAATAAAAAATGTAATTTTTTCTGATAGCATTTTGAGGATGGTATAAGACACATTTTAAATGTTTTATATGAAGACTCGTTAAGCCACTTAACGGACCTGGGGTATTGGTGTTAGAATATTTCTAAGTGGACTCTACTGAGCGAAGCTAGATATCGGCATGTGCTGCCAGCAACTGCCCCTGTTCAACGGTATGGGAAAAAAGTAGGATGACTAGGCAAAGACACACACACACAGAGGCTGGCAATAGACAGTATTCTCTAGGGGTGGGAGAAAGTAATTTTCTTGTAAAGGAAATGTATGTAATAAAAAGAAAATCTAAAATTTACAATAATAAAGAAATTACACATAAAATGAAAATTTACATACTATATTTTCTGGAAAACAGATGAATTTAATATGTGGAGACATGGTTGCTGGCTTGTAAATTATCATAACTAATTCTTTCTCTGCTATTAACTGGCTAGAAGTCAGTCAGCTCAGCTTTCCAATGTGCTCAAACATTTTTGTAAGTCATGTTTATATATATTTCATGCTTTACTGTATATGTACTAATAAAGAAATTATTTTTAATATTGTTGATTTTTTCTCAATTAAGATATGAGAAAACATTCCCAGATTTCCTCACAGTCAAGACATGGGCGATTTCTGTAATACGATCAATTATGCATGCTAGTAGAAGCAAGTTACACAGAGAATTCGAAAATTCTATTTGCCACTGACTTTTCAAAATAAGTATTCCTATGCTCTAAGACCTCATCAGATTTTAGGCAAAACTCAGAAAACAACCTTAAATTGAGGAAGAGCCAGGGAAGTTTTCACACTCCCTGTGCACCTTCCACCCTCGTAACAGCTCCCTGCTTCCAACTCTGGGTCAAATATCCTCTCTCAAAAAGAACAAAACCGTCAGCCTATGCTATACGTGCTAGGCAAAACTAAGCCTGCTGTATTTGTTTGGCTAAATATATTTGCAAAAGAAATTGGCTGTCTCTCTTCTTCCCAATTTCCATTAGCCAGGACAAATTAGCAAATACTGGAGTTTTATATTCCCCCTACTGGGCTACGGGAGAAAATGGAAGTAGAGAGAATACGAGGAGCCCTTAAGTAATGCCTCCAGACCCACTGGGCTAAATAAAGCACATCGGTCAAGTGCAAGTCACAATTTCTCAGGAAACAACACACAGGGCAGATAAGGATACTGTGAAGCAAGAATGAGTAAGAGTCGCTGCATATGAGAACTTGCAGGTCCAGGGCTACAAGACAGCGTGAAGTAGAGGAGCAAAGGCAACACTGGGTAGGCCCAGAAACTTCTCTAAGATCACCAGGACTGTTTTTTTTTAAACTACTTTGTGGAATAATTTATTTCTTTTCTATAGCTAGTTTATAGATAAGGTTTATAATATATATTTACTACCGATAAAGTAATACAACATTGAATCCTTTCGTATAAGCAGAGCTATGAAATGGGTAAAGCCTTCTGAAAACTGGCACATAGAAAGGGAAATCTTCCTTTCATTAAAGTGGTTCTTCTGGGGGACGTCCTGTCATGAAATGGCAATCCCACGTGCCACTGGTACCTCACAGAGAATAGGGGACCAGAAGGAAGTGGTGACTTTTACTGTTGAAGCCCACATAGCACCAGCTCTCTCCCACCTCAGACTCACAAACCCTCATGGTGCTGTTTACCCAAAAGGAAATCCCACGTCATTTTGGGGGGATGATCTGTTATGTTTGTAATCTGCACGATAGTATCTCTTGATGTTACAGATACTTTCTGTATTAACAAAGATACTTTTTTTTTTCTTTTTCTCCAGAATCAAAGGATATAGGTGGTGGTAAGAGGGTTAAGCTCAGAACAGAACTAATGGCACATACTCTACTTCCACCATCAAGTAGAGGCAAAGCTTAGCATACGGGTGTTTTCAGCAGTTTCTGGATTAACCTTTTGGTGAAGGCAATGTATCAAGATTTTCTCATTTGTAGGTGATAAAAACAACACAACTAAAATTGGACTCACGCAATAAAGGGATGTGTTGGCTGACAGACCTGAACACCCAAAGTCGTGGGTACGGTTTTAGTTAAGGGCTGACGTGAGGCCTCCACTGATATAACCAGGGCTGGGTTTGTAGCATTTCTCCAGCCACCTTCCTTGGTGCTAGTTTCCACTCACAGGAAGCTGCAGGCTCTTCTTTTGTGTTAGCAAAATGAAAGCAGCCCTTCCAGCCCTCACATCCTCACAGCCAGCCCTCTAGAGGATTTCTTCAGAAATGTGCAACTCGCTCTCATTGGGTCATACTGGGTCATGTTCCATCCCAGCCTCCGGCCAGCGGAATCGGACATGCTGATTGGCACCATGGCCTGACCCTGATGTTGGGGACAGAGTGGACTCTGTGACAGCATATGGCCAAGAACAGGGAAAAGTGAATTTCCCAAAGAAAAAGTTTTGCTTTCATTGTTGGGCAAAGAGAGTATGGAGGCTGCGGAGACGACCAACAAACGAGCACTAGCGATGACAACATTTTGTGAAAGACACAGCAAGGTTCTGACATCTCCATGGGGAGGCTTCACGTGTAATCTTTTTGTGTGATTATGATCTCTCTGTTTCTTGATTCTTCTTTTCTCAAGAGTTTATTTTATAAAAACACTTTAGAATATTTTTGTACATAGTTGAATCAATTATGCATCAAAACAGAAACTTGGTTCAGTTAAAACATAAGGATTCCCGTTACCCAGGGATCTTTAGTCCAGTCAAGAGCCACTTTTGAACACCTTTCTACTAGATTTCTGCATTCCACATGTTGTAAAGCAGCTGTTGGCATATCACATTTTTTTTTTCCTGAGGAAGATTCGCCCTGAGCTAACATCTGTGCCAATCTTCCTCTATTTTGTCCATGGGTCGCCACCACAGCATGGCTGCCAACAAGTGGTGTAGGTCCACACCTAGGAACCAAACTCATGAACCTAGGCCACCAAAGTGGAGCGCACCAAACTTAACTACAACGCCATGGGGCCAGCCCCCACATTTTCTTTGAATTGCTGCCACAGCGATTAAAAATTTTGTGACTTAATGTGTCTCAGAGACACAGAGAGACAAGTTGCTGGAGCTAAGGCCCTGCCGGCCTCCTGGATGAGGATGAGCTCTCCGCTCACCAGCATACTCAGCCTTCCCTACTTCCTACTCTCTTACAACCACATTTTCATTGCCTTCTTTGCTGCCACAGGCACCTGAGTTTATAAGCCATGCCGGGCACCACAGCACTTGGGGACCTACAACTATAGCTTTATCTACAAAAGGATCTAGAAAATGTCCCCTGTGGCCCAGCTGCTCTCCAAAGCAGTTCCACGGTTGACAGGGAATATGAGAAGCTACTCCATTCCTACCTCCCCCACCTCCAATGGAAGCTGGGGTACAGGCATGGAAGGGGCATTACAGAAATAGGCCCCTCTCAACAACAACAAAATTTATGGAGTATTTTCATTGATAAAGCTTATGAGACTACTTGTTACTTTTTGAAGGTGTTTGTTGTATAATTCAATGACTTCTCTCATGATCGTAGTTAAGATCTCCTCCCAATCCACCTCACCTCACTTTGCAAACATTATCTTCAGTGCTTTGGGGACCTGCAATGCAGGACCTTGGACCTGGGGTCACCTTGTTCCACTCCCAGCCTCCAGGTGGCCCCAGCTCTAATCCACAGGGTATCATCAGTATGCCAGGGGAAGCCCAGAGCTACACCACTGCCCTCTTCCCTCCCAAATCCCACATCACTGGTGACCTGCTAAACCTCCCCCCAAAGTACAGGACAAAGTCTTAAGGATTTACTTTCCTATCCTTCCATCTCTTGACATAAAAGGACACCACACAGAAACCCAGCTCTTATCATCTCCATACTTTATCTCATATTACTTAAAATAATTTCTTGATAATCCCTTTTCTAAGCTAAAAGAGTCTCTATGTGTAACTTGCAGCGTTTTTCAAGCTGTTAATTATTTATGTTCTACTTTAAACCATTAGCTTTCTGAAGGGACACCAGCTCTCTCTGATATCTTACTGACTGAAATGAGAAGTTAATCCTCATTTTGTTTGTACAGTAAAAGCCAATTTCAACTCTACATCAAATTCAAAGAAAAACATGCCACTATAAAAATAAAATAAAAAAACTTGCAATGTCATGATGAAGTATATTTTCCTATCTGGTTGATATTATGAAGTAGTATATTTTCTCATCTGGTTGACATTATGAAGTAGTTAGGGGAATAAAAAGGAAAATGCTATTTTTTAATAAAAAGCAGCATTTCCATCAATGCTATTCAAAATAAGAGTGTTTACAAAGTTACATGCAAAATGTCCTGGTTATGACTGATAAAGCACTGAGGAATATTTAATAACTAAATGAAAAGGAATAAAACAAAAGGCAATCTACGCCATATCAAATAACGAGGTGGCACTAAAAACAAAGGGAGCCAATAAACCAAATTCACCTTTCTACCTGCAAACCCAATTCCTCCTCAGCCTTCAGTTGGCTCCCATCCTGGCCCCACACCCCCATACCCTGATTCCACCTCTGCAGTGGCTCCCAGCCACCAGTCTCTTCCCATTGAGTTTCAGGTGCTCATTGTGTCTCACCTAAAACGACTGCAATCATCCCTCCCTAGTTACTTGTCTTCCACTTTCTCCCCTAAACCCAGTGCACTCCCAGGTCCGCCGATTCACTACTAGCACCACTGCTGAACTGACAGCTGCTCTCCTCACGTGACCTTCCTGAGCTCTCCACTGCTTGCTTATCAGAGCATCCAAGGTTGACCAAATTGATCCATGATTTGGCCTCGGCCTCTCACTCCAAGCACCCAGATGGCCTCAGAGTCCCCAGACACACCCCCACACCCCAGCCACCTGTGTTGTCCCCCAAGCATGCCACCATTCACTCATGTCTCCCCGGACCCCTTAGCCAGACAGGCTGCGCGTCCTGGATCCCCGCAGCTTCTGAAAGCCAGCAGCAATCTGCATGGTTGCAAGTCCTACATGTTCCTTACCGACCTTCCACACTGCAACTTTCTGCGGGTAACAAGAATATGCTCTAGGATGGGAGCTGAAGAGGCAGCCTGCAGGCCATAAATATTCCTTGTTAGAATTTTTCTTAACTACCTGATCAAAAAATCAAAGATTCACGTGACAAGGGAAAGGGAGAATTTCTCCAAAGAACCTTGTTCTGGAAAGTAACAAGAGAGGTCATAAAAAAGTTCTAAGCTTTAAAAATGAGTTACTCATAATTTCATAAGAAATGGACCATAACCACTCACATGGAAAAAAAAACATGAACTTCAGTGACTAAAAAGAAACAAGATAACCTTTAAAAAGTTCTTTTTTAGGGATTTCCCCCCTATTAATTATTTTATAACCATGGATCAAAGAGCACAGCCACACCTCACAACTGAAAGGTAAAATGGACTCTGTGTTGACCCCATAACACTGCACACTCAAGAAAGAGGCAGAAACCCCAAAGGATGGGTGAGGGGAGCGACAGGAGCACACTCTGCCACTCCTGCAACCAGGTCCACCTCCAAGAACGGGCAAAACATCTCTGCTTCAAAACACTTCCAGATTTTCACTCCCTATTTCAGTGAAGAGGGAAAGTTGAAGTCTGAGGCAGAGTTGAAGTCACGCACAAACAGCAGCCTTCTGGAAGCTCTATGTCTGCACCTCCTCTGTCCAACCACGCCCATCACTCAGACTGAAGCTACCAATCTCAGAGTCAGGAGAAAAAGCTTTGGATGAATCCAGGTGGGAAAGAGGATCACGTGTTTTAAAAGACTTTCAAAACTCAAACCTAAAGCACAGCGGGTCCAGAGAGAAGGCTGACCCACAGCCACACAAGCTGCTGGAGAAATGTCTTGACGACCGCCATTCACTAACCAACGAACAGAGCACTTGCCCAAAGATCATAAAAAGCTTCGGGATACAAACTCTTTTGACTTGAGAGCATCCTGAGCTGCAAACTCCACAGCAAGAGTGGAAACAGTGGTCCCACTGCCCAGCGGCTCTCAAATTCAAATGGCTGTAAACATTAAATGGGGGGTGGGGGGGCCCGGGCTGACCTGCTGGCCTCCTTCGTAACCACTGTTTCCGTCTGACACTTTCATTGTAAGAAGCATAACTAAGTGCTGGGACACAGGAGTCTAACCGTGCCACTCTGGGCAAGGCCTTAATCCCCCATGCCTCAGTTTCCCCATCTGTAAAGAGAGGAATCTCATACACCTCATGTATTTCTTTCAAGAAAATAAATTCTCAGATCCGTGTCTGGCTATCGCAGTGGCTACCTGCACCAACATTCATTTTCCCCTTTCTGCTTAGTTCCAAAGGGCTACCATGCTATGTTTATTAAAAAGAAAATTTTAAGAATGTTAAACATTAAAAATGATACTTATACTGAAATCCTGTTGTTTGGTATTTGTGTTCAATAAAATCAAAAGCATGATTTGTGTGGATAGGGGAGTTGACTACAAAAAGATTTTCTTTCTCAATTCATGGGGCAATTTAGCTTCTCTTTTTATTTTGAACGTACAAAATATCCATTAAAGTAACTAATACGTCATTTCTTAAATAAAAAGTAGGGCCACAACCAAGGTGAGGCAAAAATAACTTCACCTCACCTCTTCCCCTTGGGTTTCTGAAACACTAGGCTAGTGATGACACGCTATTTCCTAGAACGCTAATGATACACACTCTGACAAACATTTGTCCTTAATGAAATGGACAGAAAGAGGTGACTTATGGAAATTCAAATGGAACTCATATTAAAAACAAAAACAGGGCCAGTAGCCAAAAAAAGCCTATTTCCCCTGTGAATAAACTTCCACAAAACACCTGGTTGCCTCAAGCTCATTCTCAAAAGGAAGAACGTGGTTCAAGTTTCACTATTAAAAGACTGGTTTCTCACTATTCCAGAAAGGAAATAGAACACCTAGGTCCAAGATACTGCAGCTCTTTTATATCTGGCAATCCAGACACAAAAACTGCGGCCTTAGGGGAGTTTTAAGAACAATTGAATGTGCTTCTTAATTCTGTCTATACTCCCCAAGTGAACAGGGAAGTAAACACACAAATATGCCTACCTAAAAAAAGGAAAAAGAAACTTTACCAAAAACCTTTGTTCTAGTTTTCCTTCACACCACATTAAAACCACACACCACTCAGTTGGCAGTCAACGCCATCTCAGCAGATTCTCTCCATCTCAGCAGATTCTCTCCACCTCACTCTCTCCATCTCATCAGATTATTTCCATCCCTCATGATGTAAACCCTGATCACAAAGGCTCACTCACTTGACCATCTCTAAGTGTGTCTTTTCTGAAGTGGGTTTTTCAGTGAGTCCTACCCAACAACAACGCACACAAATCTTAAAAGACAGATCACTTCCTGGCACTATTATGATGAAAGTTAACATTGGTTCTTAACAAAAAATCAAATACAAAGTATGAGAAAGATTTAGGTTTTTTCCAATAATTTAATAAGTGAATATATGTAAAAAGTCTTCCCTGCAAAATAATAATAATAATAATTACATGAATTTGGAAGAACACCAGACCATCTGAAATAAGTGGCCACTACCATCATCAGCATCCTTACACTATTTTTTTCAAAAATTCCCTTAGACTCTCCCTAAATTCCCTCTAACTTGACATTTCTCATATAGTCTTCTGAGAGATTTTTCTCTCTAAAAGCGAATACCAAAAGGGATTCATTTCAGATTCTGGAAAGATTTCTTCTGACTTTTTTCTTTTTATCTGGAAAACTAAGAATTATTAGGAGAAAAAGAAACAAAAGGAAAGAACCTACCAGGCCAATGAAGCAATAAAAGAACCAGACTCCACCTGACCAGGCAACAGTTTTACATAAAAAATCAACTTTGGACCAGCAGACCTAGAACTCCCGAAAATATGCTTGAGACATGAGCTCATATTCTCCCTTATAAAAGCTACTCTTACACAAGAAAGATAACACAACAAAGCCAATTGATGACGTGGATGAGACAGCGACTTTTTATAAGGTCGCTACCATGGTGGGCTCCATTCAGACACTCAGTAAACATCTGCTCGCCCACCGGCAGAATGAACAACTACCCAAACAATTTCAATGCACACTAGAGGGTCCCTTTACATATAACCTATTAATTACTAAATGCCTGTCTCAATTCATTAAGCTGTTTGGGCCAAACTGACAAATGCTCATTGCAGGTCTACTCCCATAACTTAGAAAAACAGATCCAATATATTCTTGAATGAAAAAACTACAAACTATAAAACAGTACATACAATATAATAACATTTTTCAAGTGGGTATATATACACATAGAAAAATTTTAAAACATATGCACCAAAAAAATGTTAACAGTAATTATCTCTCTGCATAATGATTTTTTTCTATTTCCAGATTTTTCTACAATGAACAAAAACGAATGAAGATAAATAAAACATATACTTTACCAGACTATGTTAAGTCACATCTTTTTTTGTTTATTAGTAGATGTCTCAGCAGGATCCAAATTGTAACAATTTTTTAAATTATAACTTTGAAAGGCCGTATGAAGGATGAGTATCAACTATGAATATTAAGGATGTACACTAAAGAAATTTTGCTTAAATATCTAATATCTTTAACTCAGAACCCTTTCAAGGCACAATTGGTGTTTTTCAAAATCATTATGATGCAAAACACATCTTGGCTGCTTTAAAAAAAAAAAAGCTAGGTATCACAAACGACAAATAAAAATCTTTCCTCTAAAAGAATAGAGAAATCTGAATTGCTTAAGAAAGCATACACAAAATTGAAAAGAACTTCTTTAGGAGACTTTCATACAGTTAAACTATTTGCAAACCACAGTTTCATCTACGTCAATATGCAACATTTTAAAACCACACAAAAAGGAAAGGAAATTTTTTGTACAGCCAGCAGTCCTGCAATGGGGCTGCTGCCGCCGCGGCTTGTCAAACAGCTCGGGCTTCTCTGAAGATTTGAAGTGAGGCCCGCTGAGGCTCAGAGAAGACATCTCCAGGTATGTCTTTTCAAATACTTAATATATTCAAATGTCTTGCCATGGAAGGGAAATCTGATTTTCAGTGTTTAAACCATGTAAGTTGGAAATGCCAACATGTAATAAGGATGCTGCGTAAGAAGGCACCAATTATTAAACTCCGAACAGATTCTCACTGTGAACTACACTATAATTTTCTTCTATCTGATGACCCATCCATCCTCTCAGAAAGACAGCTTAATTCACACAGACTGAATACTTGCTTACAGGTAAGCATAACTATTTAGTAACTCAATTTTATAACCGGATGGATAAAGGCCATGTTGTAAGTCTTCACAACAGGGCACGACAGGTCTTACAACTTTCCTCTACAAACACTAAGATAGGCATTTTCAAGAAAATTCCATTGTGTCTTCCATAAAAAATCTAATGAGTTTATTTATCTTCTAAGCAATGAGCACTCGATCCAAACAAAGGAGACACTTGAATCTTGTCTTGGTTTTGCTGGAGCACCTCTGGGTACCTCAAATTTCCACAGGTTACTAACTGGTTGACAACATACTTATTAAGCACTTAGTTTTCAAATTCATCAGAGAGAACACAGAATGTTGTAGTACAATTCAATCTCTAATCAACATAACCAAAAATGTTAAAGGAAGAGGTTTTTTGTTGCAATCTAGACTGATGTTTATGAAAAACAACTGCAGGGCACTACGGGAGTCGCAAGCACGAGCGAAGGAATGGTTACACTGTAATTACTGTCGAAAGAACTAACGCAGGTGATATATACAGTCAGTTCTCATTACAGAGAATATTAATTCATCAAAACAAATCATTCTCGAATCCTTCTCTTCTACATTCATCTATAAAATGAGATTTATTGTATAACTGATGAGCAATAGGGACACTTAAAGAAACACACCATTATGTTACCATTATTACGTAACATTTGAAATACAAGCGCATAAGCCAAAATCTAGCACCTTGGAAAGGAACAATGAGCAAAGGTGGGAGATGAGGATCACTTTACACCAACACTGGCTTTTGACCCAGGGAAGAAAAGGCCATTCAGGGCGCCCAGGTAAAAATAAATGGTTACTATCAAAAATCAGAGTCATAAGGAAATCAGTGAAGCCAGAAGCAGACTTCAGAGGTGAAGAGCTTCCTCCAGGCACAGGGGATAGGCAGGACTCGGGCATGGGAAGGATCAAGGCCGAGGGTCTAGAAAACTACCAACCAGGTCAGAGCCTAGCCTGCTCTAACAAGCTGTAAAACCTGGAGCAACACCTCAGTGCCAGACCTCAGCCTCCTCAACTGATCTGAGGACTGCACTAGATGCTATCAATAAGGGTTCCCTCCACCCTTAAAGTCCTATGATCCCAAAATTTTATCACAACCAAAATTTCAAAGGCAGGAAGGAACAGCTCACAGAACAGCAGAGACCCCAACAATTTAAAGTAGAAAGTTGGGATTAAGACAGTGGGGATGGTACGGAGGGCCCAGGTCATAAGAATGCTGAAAGTAAACAAGGTATAGACTTAAAGAATAGAAGCTAGGTTTGGTTTTTAAATATATATATTATAAAAATGAACTATCAAAATACACGAAGCCTAAACTTCTCTTATTAGTACTTAGGGAAAAAAATAAGAATAAATGTTTTATATCAGTTCTTTTACATGAAAATTGTTTAGAATCTAGTTCCTGCCACATCGTAAGCTCTTAGTAAAGGTTGGCTGCTATAACAATAATAATCCTTATCACCATCATCATTATGACTATTATTATTGGGACAAGGTTTTGGAGTGGTCCATGTTGGAATCCTGGCTCTGTAACTTACCAGCTATATAATCCTGGGTGCTACTTAACCTCGCCATGCCTCAGTTTTCTCATCTGTAAAAGAGGGGTAGTAACACCCACATGGTGGGAGTGATGAAAGTTAAGGAAGTACATGTGAAGTACTTAGTGCAGTGCCACACACAAAGTAAGCACGTCGTTGTTTTCACTGAGTTTAGTACAGAATGAATGACACTGTTCATGGACCTTACAGTCCTATCTCAGGGAGGGAAAGGGGGAGGACGTGTGCCCTTGAAATGTCCATTTGCTTCATCAATCCGCTCGCATGCTGCTTCATCCCAAGATGTACACAGTGGGTCATTAAATAATTAGGAGAATCAAGATTCAGAAAGGCTTCACAAGTTTTTGTTTTTGTTTTAAAGGGAGGTTTCAGAGAATGGGCTTACTTGGCCTTCTTAGTCGGCCACAACACTTATTATTTGCTATTTTTCAAAAGTTGTACAGCAATTTTTTTCCTGCTAAAACACACAAATAATCTTCTCTTCATAAAAAAAAAAAAAGAAAGGTGTTTACTATGCACGAGGAGGGTGCATATCACGAAGCAGCCCCAGCAAGCAGTACTCATGGCCCTGAGAGTGTGATGGACCAGGTCACAGGGAGGAAGTGCAGCCCACACAGGGTAACTTGTGCCTATCAACCGCACGATGTCCCAGATCCGGAGGGAGCATGCCAAGATGTTGTCATTATCGGTGTCGATCACGATGGTTCTAAGGGCATGACTTATGCTTCTGGGCTTGACAGCCTCAAAACCCACAACGAAAGAAAAGAAAAAACGCACTCAAGTGCTCAAGTGAGATGTTTTGATACTAATATAACTGAGCTTCTCTTTGAGAATTTTGTAATCAACAATCATACACTCTTGTCCTAGAAGCCTTTAAAATACATTCTTGGTCAAATTTCTCAAAAACACTGACAGGGAAACATCTACACAAGCACTGTCCAATAGCAACATCATGCAAACCACAAAGGTACTTTAAAGTTACCTAGTAGCTGCTTTTTAAAAAGCAAAAAGAAACAGGAGAGATTAATTTTACTACTATATTTAACCTAATACAGCGAAAATATCATTTTAACAAGTGCTCAATATAAAACATGTTAAGGAGATATTTTACTAATTGTTGTACTATTTGTAGAAAATAGTACAATTCTACTACTTGTACTATTTTTTTAATAATATTTTGTACCAAATCTTTAAGCCCCAGTGTGTATTTTGCATTTACAGCACATGTCAATTTGGACCGGCCACATTTCAAGGGCTCAACAGTCACCTGTGGCCACAACCTCCCACACACTGGACATCACAGGTCTAGACCACTATGAAACCGGAGCCAGGGAAGGGAAGTCATAAGCATCAATTCAGGACCAGACTCTAATCCAACTCTTTCTGCTTAAAAGAAAAACTGAAATGAAATTCGAATCGTGAAAATGTTTTAGTAGGTTACACAATAAAGGGCCTACTAGTTTTTAAATAACAAACTTCTAAATTTTAGTACAATTTTCTGTTGCCCCTTCCCACCCCTCTCCACCTCAGTTCCTCCAGCGTGAGGAGTTCTATCAATCTACAAAAAAAGAAAGCCAGGGAGCCTCATTGAAAGCTCCTCAGGCTCAGCCACAACCAAACCATTTTTACCCTAGTTTCCTCTATTTCTCAGAATTTCAGTTCACTTACATCTCCTCTGCAAACTAACTTCCGACCCAACTGGTAACAAAAGAGCTATCAGAATGCACAACTATGATGTCAAAAATATCCCTTCTAGAAACAAATCTACATGGGATTTTCCAAAATCAGACCATGGAAAACCCAGGCTTCCTCATAATCTAAGATGTTCCCACGAATCCACACAATCTACTAAGTTCACGAATAAAATTCTATCTAAGAACTAGGAAGACCATGACTGTGGTATTGTGAGTGCAGATGTTTCTAAAGAAAATAATTTCTAATTTTAATTACTAATCTCCTTCCCCTCCCCCCCCTTTTTTTTTCAGATTCTCTGGATTTTTTTTTTTGACAGAGTCCTCCTTACTTTCCCTCAAGATGACAAACAGTTCTATCTTCTGCCCAGTTTACAGAGATCTGGAGCCATTCACGTATTTTTTTTATTTAGTTTTCCTTGTTGGAATTATTGGGAGTTGTTTTGCAACCTGGGCTTTCACACAGAAAAACACAAATCACCGGTGTGTGAGCATCTACTTAATTAATTTGCTTACAGCTGACTTCCTGCTCACTCTGGCATTACCAGTGAAAATCGTTGTCGACTTGGGCGTGGCACCCTGGAAACTGAGGATATTCCACTGCCAAGTAACAGCCTGCCTCATCTACATTAACATGTACTTATCAATTATCTTCTTAGCATTTGTCAGCATTGACCGCTGTCTTCAGCTGACACACAGCTACAAGGTTTATCGCATACAAGAACCTGGATTTGCCAAAATGATATCGACTGTCGTGTGGCTAATGGTCCTTCTCATAATGGTGCCAAATATGATCATTCCCATCAAAGACATCAAGGAAAAGCCAAATGTGGGGTGCATGGAATTCAAAAAGGAGTTTGGAAGAAACTGGCATCTGCTGACAAATTTCATATGTGTAGCAATATTTTTAAATTTCTCAGCCATCATTTTAATATCTAACTGCCTTGTGATCCGACAACTCTACAGACACAAAGATGATGAAAACTATCCAAACGTGAAAAGAAGTCTCATCAGCATCCTTTTAGTGACCACAGCGTACGTCATATGTTTTGTTCCTTATCACATCGTCCGGATCCCGTACACCCTCAGCCAGACAGAGGTCATATCTGACTGCTCCACCAGGATCGCACTCTTCAAAGCCAAAGAGGCCACGCTGCTCCTGGCGGTGTCGAACCTGTGCTTTGATCCCATCCTGTACTATCATCTCTCAAAAGCCTTCCGCCTAAAGGTCGCTGAGACTTTTGCTTCCCACAAGGAGACCAAGCCTCAGAAAGAAAAATCAAGCTGTGAAAACGATGCATAACATATGGGATTTTTCATGCTCTTCCTACTCGCCTTAGTGGACAATAAGTACAGAACTAACGGGAAAGAGAAAAAAAAAGAGCCTCAGTAAGTAAAAATACAGACAGCTAGCAAATGTGGCCTGGTTTACCGAGAAACCCCGTTTCCAAATGCAAGCCAAGGAGGAGTACTCCAGTGGTTGCTGACGCTCCTCAGCCCAAACATTTGTACAAAAACCCAAAGTCCTGTTGAACCAATGTACAACCCTGTAATAGCCTTGAAATGCAAATGAGTTCAACGACCGAGACTCAGAGTGGTCATTTAAATGCCTGGAACTGACTTCTTCATAGAAATATGCGAAGTAATCTCTATGCGGAAGTTGCCAGAAAGCCCTTCATTCAGTAACACAATTTAAAGCCCTTTAGATCACTTTAAAAAAAAAAGAAAAAAAATCCAGCCGATTTTTACGTGTGTCTGATTTATTTTTACTCCATCCCTTCAAAGATAGTAACCTTCTAGCTCACTACTCCAATTTTTACCATCTGATTGTTTCCTAACACAATATCTAAAAATTTTTACCTCTAAAAAGGCTTGGAAATACATGGGTAGTTTTTAATGTATCGTATATACTTATATTCTACCTGTAGGTTATAAATAAAGATTTTCTGCTGTTAGTATTGACAAATCCAGTGGTTTCTTATTTTTATTTTGTGGTAATAAGAAATAGACCCGCTAACATTTTCAAGGGGAGTTGTTAAATTATACTAACTGCTTAAACTATTGTTTTGGAACTAGACACTCATATCAAAGGTATGGAAAAATAGCACCAGTCAAATGGTCTTAAAATAGACATGCCAACTCCACACAGCAAGGCCTTGTTAGGAACGAAGCACATGCTGGGCTGACTGGTCCCACTCAGACCCTGAAGATGAGTCTGACCCCATGTGGGGCCAGCAAGTTAAAGTATGGTGACTCTGGGGTCACAACCCTTTGATCGAATTCTCTCTACTGCCAGTAACGCAAAGGATTCAACAGTGAGTCTTAAAGACTTCTTTAGGGAAAAGGAGATTGAAAAGTTTAGATAAGCATTCATGAGATTTTGTGTTTTTTTCATTTCAATCGTAAAAGCCCATATTAAAATAGTTGGTAATTCATTTGCATTAGCTGCAATGATTAAGAAATGGTGTTCCTGGAAGCTGACAAAACAAGTTTGATTCCAGACTCAATTTGAGCTCTGCATTGAGAATTATTATTTTCTGAAGCTTGAATCCCAGACAACTTCTGTCCACAATTTCACAAATATTTTCTCTGAGTCTGAAGAGAATAACATATGAGAAAATGCACAAAAGAAAGTGCCCATTACACTTATGGTGAGTACTGGACGCATTCTAGCTGGTGAGTGGTGCCGACAGGAACCCCATTAGCATCAGGGAGCAACACAGACCAGGTAGAAACAACTCACCTAGGTCACAGGCTAGGAGAACGCCCACCCACAAGAACCTGCACTTGCTGGGAGGCTGACAACATGTTTTTACTAATGGGCAGATCAAGACATAATTCGTGTAAGAGCCTACATGAAACTAGTTTATTCTCCTGAATATTCCGGTCAAATCCCCTTTAGTCCTCTCTCCTTGGCCTTCACTCACTAAGGTCACATCTTAGAGACACAGGAAAAAAACAAAACTTTTTTGTTAATCATATTCTTATATTCTCCTCACATGCATGATAGGTGGGCCAAATTTTCCCTATTTATTAAGGAAGAGAACCAGACTCTACAGTACTCCTAATGTCAACGTTATATTAGTGTATACTTTTATTTCCCCTCATTGATGGCTTATTCTAAATTATAATCACAGAAAGGAGGGTTAAGGGCAACTGGTGATGGAAGGCTATTAAAAAAATGGTACCCTACAACATCAACTTTCTAGCAGTTCTTTGATTGCTGCATTACAGTCAAATTATGTCGTAATTCATCAAGAGACTTAGTCCTTGGAAATCATTCATGCTCCTTCCTCTAAGGAAGGGACGGTCCTTTGAATGCTAAATGCTGAAAATGGCTGCGTAACATAACAGGATAAAGAGTCCACGTGTGGGCAGTGCCCTGCTCTGACACTCGGACACATGGCAGAGGGAGGCCTGCGAGGCTCTGCTTACCCAAGCGAGGGACACAGAACCCTCAACCAGTTTCATCCAGTTTCCACATTTTGCCATATTTGCTTCATTTCCTCTCTCCATTTTTTCTGTTTTTCAAATAAACTTTTTATTTTGGAATAATTTGAGATCTACAGAAAGGTACAAAGATAGTGCAGAGAGTTCCCATATACCTGTCATGCAGTTTGCCCTAATGATAATACCTGACGTTACCACGACACATTTGTCAAAACATGGACATGAACATTGGCGCATCACCGTTAACTATACTCCAGACTTCAACGGCCCCCCCTTTTGACTCTGACTATTTTAAAACAAATCCCAGACATCATGATAGTTCATCCATGAATTCTTCAGGATACATCTCTAAAATATCAAGCCACTCTTTCCGCCGCCCTAAATAAACTGTGCGATTATTCCGTTATGTTGAAAATGTGGGGTGCCCACAGGTAACACCTGAAAAATGTTGACATATTCAGCCAGTGATGAACAAGAAAGAATTCTGGCCACTTTTCACATGGCCCTGGACACAGAAAAATTAACACCAAAAAAAAAAGCTGCTTAACTGTAATGAGAGAAATATATGGGTATAGTGATTTTGAAAGTCATTACAGAGGATGTTCCAAAATAACCAAAAACATAAACAAATTTAAGAAAGTATTTAGTTTGCAGATCAAAACTCCTCAAAGATATCCAGGAAATAACCTAAGATACACCTCACAATTACATTTTTGTTAAAAATAATAATAGTTTTCAATGAAAAAAATGAGTCAGTGAAATTACACTTAAAATAAAATTCCAGGAAAAAAGATAGTGAAGCTAAGAATAAAAAAACATTTACAGATTCTGGCTCAATTTTCATTACTATAATATCAAAAAACCAATCTTGTTTCCCTTTTAAATAAAGTACATCACTGACTATGACTCAAACACTAAATTTCCTGGCAAGTATTTCCCACGTCTAACTAGTGACATCTCACACACAACCTCTTCCATGAAGCCTGCACCAGTTTCTCAATCAGATGCTCTGTCCCCTCCAGTATTTGCTCAAATGTTTCACCTTCCCGTGGGCACTTGGGTTTTTACTCAATTATCGCACTAATTTTAGTGCTTGTCATTTTACAGATGTTTGTCTCCCTCCTATCTCATGCACCTCTCCCGTGCCCCAAATTCTTACTCATCTGTATAACAGCAAAAGCACCTACCACAACACAGTACACATAAAGGCTGCTCGGTAAATGAGTTTCAAATTCAAGTAGGAAAACACACTTCGACATCATCTGCAGTGACTCAAACGCTCTTGATACAAGGACACTAATGTGGGAAATTCCATTAAGTCTAGGCAGCCAGTGGTATCACACCACAAATTTGGACGACATCAGCACATAAGCTATACAACCAGAACTATAACAAAAGCAGCAGCGAAGGCAAAAACTCACCTGCTCTCATGTGTGTCACTCAGGCAAGCAGCTGACTAATCAACAGGGAGTGATCCTATAATGAAATAATCAGCTCATCAACTGACAGAAGCAATGACTTACCAGAGGGATGGGAAAATGTGTTGCATACTGTAGGTGTCGTAGGAGGTCATAATTCGATGGAAAAATTAACTCCCTGGGCTTTTCTCTCTTCAGCAACTTCTCCCCATTAACTGACATTCTTCTGCCCAAGGAAGGGCTGGCATTCTCACAGGACTCTCCAGGCATGGGAGAAAATATCTAAGTCATGTAAAACAAATGTTGGAGATTGTAAATGAAAGAGCAAAACTAGAACATAGCACTACATACCAGAACTTCAAACACATGAGGCACTCATACAATATCTTTTCCTTATTTAACCACTGAGTAAAATACATAAAAAATTTTGTTAATTGACACAAACTTTCTATTCAGATCAGGAGCACTGTGTCAACAGCATCCCCCATTGTTAAGATGAGACGATGACAACCACACACCCCTAAGAAACGTGCACAGCTGCATTTCCTGGTGGACCAGAGACAAAACCAGACTCAGAGGTCAGAGTTCTCCTCATAGGGCTACATTTCCAACAAAAACACACACACAGAAATAATTAACTAATAAAACTAATGGAGAATAGACATAAAGATTTTAGTCTGTACCCCAAACAATGTATTTTTGTATACAGTTACACATTGAGATCCACGAGGAAAAACACATGATAATGACACTGAAATAAAGTGGAAGAATGTCTAACAAGTCCAGAACCAGGAAAGCTGTTGTTTAGAAGCCGAACACAGACACAGCCAATCAACATGGACCGTCACGATGAAGCTAGATTCATGTATTCCTGAGAGAGAGAGTGACCTCAAAATGAACAAAAGGGTCACAGACAGTCAACTAGGAGGGAAGGAGTGTTAAAATTTACAAAGGATGCAGTGCAGCCAAAACTGAGGATGAACTGCAAGGAGACAACTGCATGAGATGATTAGATGAGCCCTAGGGCGGAGCACAGTAGGACCACATTTACATCACAGGTACTCAAGTCATTCCAGCACAGGGGGCAAGGAACAGGATGGAGACAAGGTGGAGTAGGGGTGGGTGGAGGGGTTAACAGTCAATAAGAATTCGAAGGTTGAACCTACTGGAAATTCCGAACCAAAGTCAGTTTTAAAGTCACTCTTGTCTACTTCATCAAAAATATTAGTAGTTCCTGAGTCAATGCCCATATGCGCCATAATAGTCTGTTCCTGATAAGTGCCAGGGAAAGAAAGTCACATTGTAAATTTTGTAGTTCATTAAGAAACTGAAGCTAAAACATAACAGTGATATTTTTAACCATTCTATGTCTTTTTTCCGCAAAAAAAGAGAAGGAAGTTTTAAGGCATGCATTGCTTTGCAAAATCACATTCTTTGCCCTCATGATGAGAAAGATTCTACCTCCACAATATTTCAAGGGAGGAGCACACAAACGTCCTGACACAAACTGGCCATAACTTCTTTCTCTGGGCAACTCTCGGTCAGAAGCTCACCCACTTTTCTTAGTAGGAAAAATCTAAGAGTACATGTAAGATATAAGGCACCTTGAAATCCAAGAATAGAAAAGAAAAAGCAGAAACAGGTCAAGTAACTTTAGTTTTTACCCTTTATAACTCTGTTTGTACTGCGGACAAATTCAGAAACAAAAGTATTTACATTAAAGAAGCAATTTTTTAAAATCCCTGCAATACTTGGTGACCAAATCTTAAGAGTAAAAACTATGAATCCACAGGTGCCATTCAAATGTCAGGTTTTTAAATTACAAGTATAGCCACTGTTTTAAAAATATCAGGGACGGGCCCGGTGGCACAGTGGTTAAGCGCACGCACTCCCCTTCGGCAGCCTGGGGTTCGCAGGTTGGGATCCCGGGCGCGCACCAATGTACCACTTGTCAAGCCATGCTGTGGTGGTGTCCCATATAAAGTAGAGGAAGATGGGCATAGATGTTAGCTCTGGGCCAATCATCCTCAGCAAAAAAGAGCAGGATTGGCATTGGATGTTAGCTCAGGGCTGATCTTTCTCACAAAAAAAGTAAATAAAAAATAAAAATATCATAATAGTATATGCTTAACTCTCACAGAACCAATATGAGGCTTTATTTTTAAGGAAATGTCACAATCTCTCACCATTTTCTACTATTTACCATCACCAACTCCATGTTTTTTGCCTTGAAAATTTCCATAAGTATCTGGAATAATGTCCAAAATATCAGAAGTTGGCAGAAAATTATAAAATCATGCTCACAGTATAGAATAACTTGTTGAAAAGAACAATTCTACAACATCTGAGAAATAGAGATTAAATTTTTAATTAATTGAAATGAAAATATGATGTGTTATGACTAAAACAGAGTTTCCCCTGATGTATAAAAGATTGATACAAGTAAAGATTGATACATCGGGAAAACGATGCTCCTTTGGATGAAAACTGAGCCAGGACTTCAGGGCCAAAACAGGTCCAATTTTGAAGCACAACATTAAAGGAAAAATGTAGATTAGAAATACATAGAATTCCAATACAATGAAAAATGTTATGGGCTGTTAAATCTTTTCATTAAGTTTTAAAGTATCCAAGAGAAAATTCTGGAAGATATAAATTATACCCCAAATGTTTTTCATGAGTGAGGAGTAGAGATAAACGAGCTTTGTAACAAGAGAACACAATTAAAATGCAACCACCTTTCCTCCACCAAATAATCCATCTGAGAGCGGCGTCCCCGCAGAGTTAGGTTTCGGGGCTGGGGGGCCCGCCCCCGCCCCCAGGGCCATACCTCCATCTTCGCGTCGTGGTCCTTGGGGTAGTGCTCGTCCACGTGCTCCCCTGCTGGCGAGCGCGGCCGCGTGGAGGCAGTGACGGACAGGTCTCCCCGGGATATGAGGGTGCACATGTAGGCGTCGTGGGAGAACACGTCGTGGCGGATGAACTCGCAGAAGAGCAGCACCAGGTTCACGAACTCCACCTTCTCACACTCACTGTTGGGGTCCGCTACAGAGAAACAAAGGCAATGGAGAACTCAGCTCCCTTGACACGGTAGAAAAACAACCAATTATCATGGTTTAACAATATTTTCAACACTTTTCATAATTTTTTTTTTCCAAAATAAAAGACTTATTGGAAAATTTACTATGAGACACCATTGTTTTATGCCGAACTGGCACACAGGTTTTGATTGTCCCGCTGTAACTAAAAAATAGTTTCCAGTGTGCTAAACACAATTTCAAGATTAAAAATAGTGGTCCCTAGGGCCGGCCTGGTGGTGTAGCACGGTTAAGTTTGCACCCTCCGCTCCGGCAGCCTGGGGTTCACAGATTCGGATCCTGGGTGTGGACCGACGCACCGCTTATCCAGCCATGCTGTGGCAAGCGTCCCACATATAAAGTGGAGGAAGATGGGCAGAGATGTTAGCTCAGGGCCAAGCTTCCTCACAAAAAATAAAAGTGGCCCCTGGCAAACGAATAACCATTTAAGTAATCACATAAACACATAAAATATCAGGTAAGAAAATAAAAGCAGGGCCCAGCCTGCTTTCCTCTGGTTTTACTATCAAAACAGCTCATGACTGTTTTTACACCTTGACTATGTCCGTGTATTTGCAGGGTATGCGTGTGCACTTTTTCAAAGGAGACTTCACAATAGAACCACAACTCAAATGGTATTTGAGGGCCGGCCCCGTGGCTTGGCGGTTAAGTGCTCGAGCTCCCCTACTGGCGGCCCAGGGTTCAAATCCTGGGCGCACACCGATGCACCGCTTGTCCAGCCATGCTGATGCCGCGTCCCACATACAGCAAGTAGAAGAACGTGCAGCTATGACATACAGCTATCTACTGGGGCTTTGGGGGGGAAAAAAAAAAAGGAGGAGGATTGGCAATAGATGTTAGCTCAGAGCCGGTCTTTCTCAGCAAAAAGAGGAGGATTAGCATGGATGTTAGCTCAGGGCTGATCTTCCTCACAAAAAAAAAAAAAATGGTATTTGAAAAAAATAGTGAGTGGGATCCACTGAAAAGAAAAAGGGAAAATGGAATAAAGAGGACACAAAGATGGAGCTGTGCAGTCTGTTTTAATTCATAACCAGTGTATGTAACTCCCATTATGACTTTTAATACTGTAACTGCACTCTAAAACTTGGTACTACCTTTGAGAGAAGGTTAAAAAATGTTGAGACTTCACTACACCCGCCCAGCCCCGTCCCTGGTCCCAGCGCACTCACACCTACAGGAAACAGACAGGCGCATCCAGGGAGGGGAAACTCAGTTCCCTGAAGGTTAGCCCAACTGCTTGATCTCGCAGATCCCTGAACTCAACGACCATGACCTCACCCGTGCTGCTGGAAACAGACAGCTTTCTCTGACCAGCCGTGAACGGATCCAGAACAGGCAATGGCGCAGAAGGAGGACGTTCTTCCCCAAGAGACAACAGGAGTGGGGACGGGATGAAGGAAGCAAAGGGCAATGTGTACCTCCCCCAGGATACAAGATAAGTCAGAGCTGCTAACTGCCATTCCTGATAACATATCTCCTGCCATCCGGATCTCCTCTGTCCTTGCACGTTTCTCCCTCCGTGTCCATGTTTCATTGCTGCTCCCTCCATTCCCACCACCAGCTTGGCTCCAGCTCTCACTGTCCTCCAGCCTGGAACAGCCGCCAAGGGACTAAAAGAACCTCGCCCCCCAGCGTCACTCAACCCAAAAGGAGGCCTTTCTCAGAGAATCAGAAGCAGGCCTATTGCTGTTTTACCGGCTTCTTTTCCACAAACGTCTCCCTCCCACCCCTCCATTCTTTATCTCCCCTTACTATCACTTTTCACTTTTTGCCATTTTTCTGTTGTTTCATCACTATCTATCCTAAGACCCTCTGTGTCATAAGAAAACCTCAGAATAAGATCAAGCCCAGTCAGCTCACAGAAATGACTTTTGTAAAGTGTCTGCCCATGGTATGAACCCACTCCTGGCTGTTTATTCCCAAATCCATGATCCCTACCAACAACAGAACAAAAGACAGAAGAAGAACGTGGAATGACATGAACATCCACGAGAGCATAGGGAAGCAGCCAACCATCTTAACAAATTAGTTCCTTGTATCAAGGACCTGGTTACAAAGCACTTCTGTTTAATTTTCTTCCCCCTTTTAAGATCAGGAGTTAGAAAATCAGAAATTTGGAAAATGGTTCGAAAAAATTCCAATTATCACAATATACAGTGAAACATCACAGGACCTTTGCTCCTCTATTTTGGTAAGAAGGATCTAGAAAGGAAAAATTGGTCCACCAAATATAAGGGAATGAAGTGACTTATTTTTTAAATTAATACAATTCTGCAAACGTTTTAAGTCTTTGAAGACTGCCTGATTGTAAAATTGCACAAAAGTCTCCATTGCAAACGTGCTACCAAATTTTGCTCAGTAAAACATACATTATATTCAGTGCCAATAACTTTTGATAAGATGCAAATAAGAAAAAACAAAAGGAGAATCAGCCCCAAGAAAACAGTCAATCCCTTATTTAAAATCTAAGAGCAAAGAGCTTTACTTACACAATGAGGGGGCCTGCGTATCTAAAAACCTTAGAAGAACATTCTGGAAAACAGGCAAACTAGATCCAGCAAGAGAGGCTGAAGAAATGGACTCCTTCTCATCTAAGACCTCTGATTCACCACATCTCTAAGGTTAAAAACAAACAAGCACAGTTATTTACAGAGGATAAGTAACAGGTGCAATGGTCATGAATTGGTTAGTTTTTTATTAACATTTAAGTTCTCAGATAAAACATGCAAAATTAATTGAGATTTCTGTACTTATTTGAGGGCCATGCATCGTAGGTAAATACAATTTCTAAAGGTTGGGAAAAACTACCCCAGAAAAATTCAAATGATCCCAAAGAACACCCATGAAAGACACTAGTCACGTGGATTATCAACTCTGCACAGTGCGGCTCAAGTACCCGCCGAAAACACAGCCTCATACAACCAACCACTCATTATCTCTACACAAAGTTGCTAAAAATAATTTGAGACTGTCTTCCTTTTAAATAGCTTACGTTTAACTGAGAAATACTTGGGCGGGCCGGCACCGTGGCTTAGCGGTTTAGTGCTCGCGCTCTGCTACTGGCGGCCTGGGTTCAGATCCCGGGCGCGCACCAACGCACCGCTTGTCCGGCCATGCTGAGGCTGCGTTCCACATACAGCAACTAGAAGGATGTGCAACTATGACATACAACTATCTACTGGGGCTTTGGGGAAAAAAAGGGAGGAGGATTGGCAATAGATGTTAGCTCAGAGCCAGTCTTCCTCAGCAAAAAGAGGAGGATTAGCATAGATGTTAGCTCAGGGCTGATCTTCCTCACAGAAAAAAAAAAAAAAAAAAGAAAAGAAATACTTGGGCATGCATTGCTGACTGACTCCCCTGTGTGTGTTCATGTCAGGTGAGTGTATCTACGAGCATGTTTGGGGAAGTGTGGTCTCGAATGAGAAAGCTAACATAAGTCCCCTAATACGATTCTTCCTCTCATTCATCACTTCACCCGTAAGATCTCTCAGAACCTCGGGGAATCGCCACAGTTCATGAAACACATCTAGGGAAGCTGTTTAACTTCTGTATTCTTAAAGACAGAACTTACCAGAAAAGAAACAGTTTAGAAGCCATCCAAACCTCAGTTTCTCTTCTCTTTAATATCCCTTTGATCCCTCCCACTTTCATTACCAATTCTTTAATATTAAGATACTAATTATTACATTAAGATATTATTTCTACAATCCATCATCTCTTTACAAAGGTCAAATTTTGAAAATGGTGATGTTTAACAGAAATCAATTACCTTAAACATCTCTGAGAGAATACATTTTTAGATATGGATACATTTACACCTATTAAAATTACAAAGTAATCTGTGTGTGAAAGTAATCTATGTGTGAACCTCTTCTGAAAGTGAGTGAGAGTGTGTGTGTGTGTTTGCGTGTGCGTGTATGCTGGGACACTGGGGAGGGTAGGGGGGCAGAAGAGACACAACAACAACAATCCAGAAGGAGCAATGAAATTTCAGAAATTCAACTTTAGTTACAGAAGTTCAGTCATTGCAATTCACTGGAGAATAGTCTATTCATTAATGTGTAGAAAAAAGGCAATGCACTGCTTTTCTTAATTTGCACGTTGTAAAATGGGCTGTGTGGTTTACACCTGAACATCGGTCTCTTCAGGCCCACAGTCTTTTGTAGTTGGTGAACACTGCTTTCCCAACAGGAGGAGAGATGTGTCTATGAAAATATTCTTCCTATATCATTGTTAAACAGCTTCATGGGAAGCAGGTGTGTTATCAGTAACGAGGAGCCAGCTCAGTGCTAGGCCACTCACGCAACACAGGCTGTCTGAGCGTCTAGGATGCTTGTGCCAAGGACAGCACAGCGAGCAGGGTGGGCAAGGCCCCTGCTGCCAGCCCACAGTCTAGAGGGGGGTCGGCAGGCATTCAGTAATAAGCCAACGAGGAAAGGAAAACAGAGTGATGTGATAAAGGGGCTATGGGTGCTGTTACCTGTAGATAAGGTGGTGATGGGAGATCTTCCCAAGCAGGTGACACAGGCTGAGCTGGGAAAGCTACAGAGAAAGTGACACTTTCTGAAACAGGAATGGTAGAAAGAAACGGGCCACGTAAAGACGGGAGCAGAGTTTGCCGCCCAGAAGGAACAAAGACCCCAGATAAAAGCGAGTGTGGTGTGTTAGAGGGACAGGAAGACCAAGGTGGTCAGAACTGTGTGTGACCCGGGGAGAAGGCGCGAGACGGGTGGGAAAGGCAGGCAGGGGAGGCTCACGCGAGGCTCTGTGGGCGGAGGTGAGGAGCCATCAGGAGTCCCAGGAGGGACAATGGGTCTGTTTCCACTCTGAAAAGACGGCTCTGGGTGCCGTGTGGAGGATGTGGAGAAGGAGAGGGAGGAGCTAGGAGGCCCTGCAGCCCAGGAGGGAGAGGACGGGGCCTGGTCAGACCACACACACCTTCTCCAGAGCCATCCCAGCTCAGGCTTACAGCAGAAAAGAAGGCTCACTCAAAAATCTCCCCTTCAACAAAAGCTAATGCTTATGACGTTAGTTTGGCTTTTTCTTTTATAACCTACTTCTGAGGCTTCAATTGCTCTCTCTGGGGCCAGAACACAATCTCAAAAACTAATGCAAATTGGTATCTGTAATCTCATAGTCACAACTGGTATATATTATATACATGTGGGTATATATACGTGTATATGTGTGTATACACGTATATATACCCACATGCATATAAAAAATGTATGTACGCATGTGTGTCTTAACCTCACAAAGTGAGATTTCCTTGTTCTAAATAGAATGTTAAGTTTATTTTAAAAGATACAATTCTAAATTAGTCCTGATTGTAAATGATTGGTTTCATCAACTTAGAGGGACCCTAGTGTGAAGTCCTTATGTGAATTTTGCGAACATTCTCCCTTTTTCCTTCAAAAGAAAAAATGAGCACAATGAGAGTAAAAAAGACTCCTCCCCAAAAGGTCTTTTCAGACGATGACCGTCAACAAGCAGAGACACGGCACCCACCTCCGCCTCGACTTCCGCTTGCCGCTTCTCCAGGAGCTTGGCCACGGCCATTGCCCTGTGCTTGCCGGACCGCTTGCAGCTCACGGCCCACTCACACAGGAGCGTCACCACGGCTTCATCGTTGGGGGCGACCTAACGACCGAGAGAGACGGGTACCAGCCACAGCGCAGGAAACACTTCCCCAGTAGAGGCAGGAAGCGAGCAGCGAGAATTTAAAGCTTTAATGCTTTCTTCTAATATTTTACTACAGTCATTGTAGAAAGTGGTCCCAAATCTTTTCTAATTGAAGTATAAAGAGCAAAAGTTCAGTCATAAGGAAGGAAATAACCTACTTAGAACGGCTGAATCTGTGACAATTCCAAGAGAATTAGCTTCCTTGAATACGTCTTCCCTTACACAGGACCGTAACCTGCCCTGTCGACCCTCCGGAACACACTTTCACAGCACACGGAAAGGCAACCAACCACTGAATGGCAACAACAGCTGCCACGTGCCCAATATGCCACCCCACCGTTTACCCTCAGGCTTCACTCAACACGTGACACAAACAAGCCACGTCAAGAGTCACCCGGTCCAAGGGGGAGGTGGAGGGAACAAATGAGGGGAAACCAGAATGCTGATCGAAGACCCACTGCATCAGAAACCACAAACCTGATGAATGACAGCCAAGCATCCAAAGGGGACAAAAATTAAAAGCAGACACAGTTAACGAAGGACAGCGGCCGGGTCTATGTAGGGCTTAGCACGGTCACCGAGACTGCAGCCATGGTTGTCATGGCCTAGAAATGGGCACCAGAGACTGAGGAGGAGAGGAGTCAAAGAAAGGTCACAGGGACCCAAGGAACAGGAATTGGGGGACAGGAGGAGGGATGCCAGCGGGGGGTCGTCCTTCTGTGCAAACTGGCCTTCCTTCTAGAGGATCCATCCAACCAACTGGACATCAACATCAGTGTTTACTATCTGCCCAACTGTATCAACACTATGCCCGAAGAGCTGCATCATCACAGCACCGGCCTTCATGCGCTGTGTGAGACGGTCTCAACTCTAGAACACGTAAGTTCAGGTAAGATCCTGATGGTTACGGACACTCCTAGGAAGAACACAGACTTACACACACACAATTTTAATACAACATTTCAGAACGTTTGCAGACGCGGAGAAGACATCCAACAATTCCAGGAGAAGAATCCCTATCAGCTTTTAGATACCAAAAAACAATTCAGACCAGGAAAACCAGTTTATTCTAAGATTTTTAGTCTTCCTATCCTAAATTTGGTTAAACATATGGTGACTCAAAACAAAGAAACGTTAAGTTATCTTGGCCAGATATCTCAAAAGGAGCTCTGGGTCTCTTAATGTAAAACGAGAAATAATTCAATGCAAATGTATAAAGAATGAACATAACATTTAAAAAAGAAAACAAACTGGGAGGAATTCCTGCCTGGATTCAATCTAATCCAGAGAAAAGTAAAAATACAAAAGTCAATCCAGTGAGGCCCAACATACTTAGATCTAGAATAGTAAAGAGAACAAAAGAGTTACCCTAAAAATACTGCCATCTGTTTTTAATAAGTTAATCTGGTCAGTAACACACATCATGTCCACATTTATAAAGATGTTTTTATTTTCCTCTGCATCGTCAAAATGAGGTGAAAATGTGCTACAAAAGAATAAACAGTTGACTCACCCAACTTAAGTAATAGGCTCTGCTTGACCTAGAGATGCACAGAAAAGAACAGATAAAGGAAAGACTTCTTTTTAACACATCCAGATATGACCACTGGTTTGGGGTAATGTGCTAGAAAACCAATCCTAGGAAGGAGTCAATCCACTTCCTAAAGCACTTACTAAGTACCCATGATATGCTAGGCATTGAGGAAACAAAAAATTTAAAAGATCTGGCCCCTGTTCTCAAAAAGTTCACCTTCTAGAGGGAAAAGCAGAAAAGACAGTCATCATAAAGCAATAAGATGTTCTGACAGTGTGGAGGGGAAGTAATGAAGTCTGGTCACCGGCAGCTTACACGTCTCATAGGTGACGAGCACACGTCTGTCCAGCTTACAGACATCTGAGCTCTTAACTTGAAGACAGACAGGCCTGTGGTTCACCTGCTCCAGCTGTGGTCTCAATTTGTAATGATTAGGAATTAAGTGAAATAAGTGAAAATGCAGGTGAAAGACTGAGTTTTTAAAATAGAAAATTTATCACAGAAATGTTCCTGTCCTCCTATCAATTGTGCCCATAAAAAGCTATACATTAAAAGCTATTTTCAACCAATAAGTATTTTCCATTACTGGCCAGATTCCAATAGTGCAAAGTCCACTCCGGTCTGAACATCCAATAGCCTGCCAAATGATGCCACTCTTTCCGGAGGACACTGGGGTGGTGGGAGGGAGGAAGAGGCAGGTTCTGTGCTTATTTCAAAAGAAACAGTAAGATATTACAGTGGAACTTTTATGACTAACTTCTCAGAAAATCGCATTGGAAAATCAGGTCAAATTATACCAACTTGACAGCAGCTATCTCTGCAATACGAATAATTACACATTTATACATTTGGGTCACAGAGCATTTCATTAGTTCTTTATTATTGAAAACTTATGCTAGTTAGAAAATAAATTTTTATAATTTTAGCATTATTTTTCAAGATAACTTCCCATTCAAACCCCCACACCCACTCCCTTCCACTATTTACTATGAAGTTTTAGTTCACATTTTCAGTGGTTTTACTAAGAGGCCTCTTCTAGATTTCACTAATTACCAAAAATAAGGATGCTACCCTACTTATTTAACTCTAAAAACCAGTTCCAGGGTACATCCCATCAGACATGTTCACCACGCAGACAGACAGACAGACATCCACGGCTCATGCTCCCCACAATCGGATGCCTCGTACCCCTACCCTGCTCTGCATCAACTGACTTGTAGAATGACAGGATGGCTTCCATTTGCCTGCCAGATGCTATCTTACAAATTAATTCAAATAACTGTCAACAGGACATCAGGATTTCAAGTATGTGAGTTGAAATGCATTCTCATCCTATAAACAAATTTCCAAAAATACTAAGCTCCTTTTCTTTAAAACAATCAATAATTGTTTATTAAGTGAAATTTAATAAATATTATTTAAACTCATAATAAATTGAAGGCAAAAATTTGAGGTAATTTAGTAGTTCAAGACATGAACTAAATATAGCCCCCGGCCTGCAACAAGATGACAATTAAGTGGGACAGACATATGTGTATATAAACAATATGGAGGCATAAAAAAGGACACAAAAATGATCTCAGAAAATCAACAACATTCAACAGGAGCAGAGAGAGAAGACTGAAGGGCATTATTATAGATGCTTCTTTTAGAAGGTGGCTTTCAAGAAAAACCTTGAAGAATGAGTTCAATTTTAAAACAGAGATGAACAAAAGGAGAAATAAGTATGAGGTAGGCAGAATAATGCCCCTCCCCAAAGATGTCCACATTCTAATCACAGGACCTGTGAGTTGGTCACCTTAAATGACAACAGGGACTTTGCGATTGTGATTAAGTTAAGGATTTTTGGGTTTTTTTTTTCTGTGAGGAAGACCAGCCCTGAGCTAATATCTCATGCCAATCCTCCTCTTTTTGCTGAGGAAGATTGGCCCTGGGCTAACATCCACGCCCATCTTCCTCTACTTTATATGGGACACTGCCACAGCACGGCTTGACAAACAGTGCATCGGTGTGCACCCAGGATCCAAACCTGAGAACCCTGGGCTGCCGAAGCGGAGCGCCTGCACGTAATCGTTGCGCCACTGGGCCCACCAGGTAAGTTAAGGATTTTGAGAGGATGATTTGGGTGGGCCTAAAGTAATCAAAGGGAGGATTTATAAGGGAAAGAGGGAAGCAAGAGAGAGAAAGAGATGTGACAATGGAAGCAGGAGTCAGAGTCAGGGAGAGATGTGAAGATGCTGTGCCGCTGGCTTCAAAAATGAAGCAAGGTCACAGCTAAGGAATGCAGGTGACCTCTAGAAGCTGGAAAACGCAAGGAATCGGATTCTCCCCTAGAGCCTCCAGAAGGAACACAGCCCGCCTGACCCTGTGATTATAGCCCAGTAAAACCATAACCTCCAAAACTGTAAGAGAATAAATATGGGCTGTTTTGAGGCACTAAATTTCTGATAAAGTGTTACAGCAGCAATAGGAAACTAACTCAAAGTAGTTTTAAACAAACACATAAAGAGTGGAAAACATGGTTGTGGTTCAACGAATTACAGGAGCAGAGGACTGCTGGTTAAATGGCAAATATAGGAAGGCTACAATACAAAATTCAAAATCTGGGGAAAAAAGTTTAATGATACACTGAAAAAGAGTACCATGAAACAGGCAATAGCCTCATTCGTTCATTTACTTATTCATCAATAAACATGTACTAGCACCTACGATTGCCAGATCTTCTTCTAAGCACTGCATATAAATAGATTCTCATGTATCACTTTGTAGGAATAAAAATTGGTATTTCTCTTTTGGATGTAATTTCTATTATATAACGAGAGTCTTACAAGTGTTCGTATTATTTGCTCCAATAATTCAATCTCTGAGAATACAGCCCAAGGAAATTATCTTCAAGTACAAAGACATGAGTGTTCCAGGCATCCATGAAGCGTGCTACCAAACAGTCCCCGAAGGTCCACGCAGACAGTTCACAGGCAGGAGTATTTGTCGTCAGCAATGCAACTACAGGAATTTTTGCGGTTCTTTTGTTTTTATTTCTGCAGGCAAATCATGGTATTTTGATATCTAATTAAAGATGTATAAATAGGAAAGGCAGATGGGAGAGGCTTGTCACGGAACACAGGAGGGGGGACGTCAAAGGTTCGTGATTGCCAGTGAAGTCAGATCCGCCCTCAAACAAGGTCTGCCCTCTGTCTGCCCACCATTCTCCCTGCCTTCCAGGAACAGCACCCCTCCTTCTGTGGGTCTTGCTCCTCCTGCCCCCAGGTGGCTCAAGGAGGGGGGGTGGTTACCAACTGTAGGATCCCACCCTCTTGGCTTTAATGGTACGTCTGGATTCAGGACTTTGATACGCAGTGAGGACTGTAGGCAATTCTTTGAACACAAGAGAAAAAAAAAATCCCTCTATCTGGCACCCATCGTA